TTACTATTTTCTGCATGTAGTCTTAATAATTAACTAATATGGGAAATGTGCTATACAGTACAAATGTACCTTTTTATTGACAGTAGTTGCTACTAGAGCCCCCAATTGTTTGTTTGTTTATGTTAATAGCTACTTGAAAGTACAATGAAAACATAGCAGAAAAAGAAATAAAGGAGCAAAAAGAAAAGTGATTTACAAGCTGAATAAAATTAAATAATGTTTTTGAAGTAACGATAGATTAGTACTGCAAATAAAGCTGACCTTGTATCAATTTAGCACTTCAAAATCATTATTAAAGTCAAATCAACATTCAGTAATTAACAAAGGCAACCAGTATAATAATAATCAGTCATAGTGAATGATTAGTGAGACTATCTAATCTGAGGCAATATCTTCATTGTAACAAATCAGGCAAGTTCTAATAGTTTAAATCTTTGGTTAGGAGCCTCCAATTCTTCAGCAAGCAAGGCACACGCAGGATGGTCTGTTGGTAGCAATCTGTGGCTGCATCATACGGAATCCTTTAAAACAGGCGCAGCAGCCTCTGCCTGTACAGGTGGCCTTTGTTATTCATGGGGATCCTGTTCTAGCCCAACGACCATGGATAGCAAGACTGCAAAAAATGCTTTATGCATGTCATGTGCAAAAGCCTGTCTTCCATTCTGCACATGCGTAGAATAAAGGAAAAACCTTGCCAATAACAGCAGATATACTAAACAGATAGCGAGGTTTGGTCTGTATTTTCCAACTGCCATATGAGAAACATGGATAAAAAGGGCCACCTATCTGTGCTTCTGCAGCTTGTCTGCCATGCATCAGCAACATGAAAAAAAAAAAAGAATGAACCAACTCGTCTCCGGGTTATACAGTTTGCCTGACATTAATCATCCAGGTAGATCTCTTTCTATTTTGCCATTAAACAGAGATCGCAACTGTACTTCCATCTAATGCTAAACTGGAGGGTAGTGTTTTCTGAATGAGCTTCATGCTTGCTTATGCTCCCCTTCCCTTTTCTGGCACCGCTGCAAGAAGGAAACCAGAAGCTTTTGCTCTCCATATGTCTGTACGTGAGCATAATAAAAATAATGATGTATGATAACATGTATTAACTATGATTTGGAAAATAAGCCAGCTTCAAATTATGGTTTACAATGCTAGCTTGTTTCCTGAAACTGCAGTGAATTATTAACCAGTTCCAGGTTCAGATATAACAATCAACTATGGATAATTGAAAAAAGCTTCTAATATCTTCCTTGCATAAGAATGATGTAAAAATGATGTGTGCAAACATTTCTATGAATTAAACACAATGTAATGTCCAGTCATCAGTTTCTTTCCTCCTTTAGGATCAGTTATATACACAATGGGATAGGGACTTTTGACGTCAATAAAAGGATGTAGGAAATCCAAATTATCTTTTTTCTCTCTTTCTTTTTGGCACTCAGATTATCTTCCTTTTAGTTTTCATGTATTTTATGAGAAGCCTTTTTCTGTTTATGGCGGTTAGTTGACAAAATGATCTCTTTCAAGAGCTAAAACCACTAATGTCCCATCTATCCAAATTCATGTCAGACGGGCAGCAGCAGACCTTAATGACCTGCATCTAGAGATTTTTGTGACTACAGTGATGTAAAGGAAAGTTGGCTTCTGGAAACTGCTCACATTTATGTTCTGAGTGCTTACAAATGACCTGAACAGTCAGGCAACATTTTCTGTAAGTTCTCATTTGTAAAACAAAACAATATTCTTGCTGCCCTGAACAAAAGCCTTTTCTCATTGTCTTAATATTTTCTGTCTTAAATTTGGCTTGCTTATTTGTTTGTTTGTTTGCCATAGACCTAAAAACAAAGTTGCTCTTCCCTTTTGTTTTCCTATGGCACCACTCAGGTTTCTTAGGAAGATCAAAAGTATGTTCACCACCAAATAGGTTGATGTTACTCCAAAATACAGAATTTATCACTTAAGTTCCTACACACTATGAAACTTAATAACTTGGATCATACATAATGCTCAGTAAAAGGTAATTTGTTTGGTTCAGGGTGTGGTGAGCATGCCTGCAGATACGGCAGCTTCTAAAAACTGAAATAAATAAACATTTCAACTCAGCCACTGTAATTAATTTTTGGCTTATGACTTACTGTATTGACTAAACATTGACTCTGAATATGGTTAAAGAATCTATGCCGTGCTGTGCATGAACCCAGCCATTGTACTAGACCCAGTGTAAAATAGTTTTGTAATTTACTAGCTTTTTTCCTCTCCTTTTAGGTTTGATATTGCCCAACGGAGATATCAACTGGAATTGCCCATGTCTTGGTGGAATGGCTAGTGGTCCTTGTGGGGAACAATTCAAGTCAGCATTTTCCTGTTTTCATTATAGCAAGGAAGAAATTAAGGGCTCAGATTGTGTGGACCAATTTCGTGCAATGCAAGAATGTATGCAGAAATACCCGGATCTGTATCCTCAAGAAGATGATGATGAAGATGAAGATGAAGAAGATAATCAAAGCAAAGATTTAGAAACTAGTCCCTCCATTGGCAAAGAAAAGGATGGGTCTAGCTAATGAATGCATGTGGAGGCTGTGGTCTCCTTTCCATATTCAAAGACATACAGACTTAGGCAGGGTAACTTCTCTCCTTTTTTTTTCCCTCTCCACCCCACTGATCCGTCAAGGAATGCACTTCTGTATACTGTATCATGTGAAATAACTTACTGCGAAGAAGAAACCTCAGCCGCATGGTTTTAATAAAGAAATATTGCAGT